ACGGTCCCATAACTCGCGCTAAGGCAAAGAGATTGAATAAAATCATTTACAATGCTACTTCAAGAAGAAATCTGGCTTCAAAATCAAATGGGATCAGCCCAAACTCAAGCCCATGCTTTGGTTAGCCTATTTAGGGGGCCAAATCAGCCCAAATGAAGTAAAATGAGCCCAAAAGAGTGCTTGGAAAACATGGAAGAAAAGGAGCTACAAATTCTGGTATTTGTGCAATAAATGTGGTCATTTTTTGACTCCATTGGAACTATAATTGCCTTGTTTTTAGTTTTCTATGTTTTCAGCAAACTCTTTTATTTCACCTAGTTTTCCAATGTTTCATTTCCTTATAAAAAGGGAGCATCTATCATGTAAAACTCAGATTATTGAATTGAGAGGTTTCTTCTTATGTTCTTGATTACTAACTCTAATCTTCTTAAGGTTTGAGGTAGTGTTCTTTTCGACTTATCAAACACTTTTACCACCAGGTGTTTGTGGCGTCTTCGCTCGTTTCAAAGGTTCTCTAACCGGGTCTGGATTGGGTTTAGGGCGTTCTTGTGACTGGAACAAGCCCTAGGTTCGGTTCACTGTTGTTAGTGGGTTTTTGAACATCTATCTACTATCCTTCTTACCTAATTTTGAGATTCGTCGATCCGCGTTCGTATCACTCTCTTGAGCTTGAGAGAGTTTTCTCCAGAGTTCTCCAACCTCTCAGATGGCTTAGGATCGGGATTAGTTCGAGACTTAGGTTCCCCACCTGCTTTCCACCAAGAAAAAGACGAGAAAACATGAAGTTCGGACTTTTTAGTGTCTTGGTCCGGAGCTGACCAACTCTTGGTCAGCCGGACCAAGCACACGTAAATCGTCATGTGCTGACAGTCCACGATCCGGCAGACCAGAATCTTGGTCCATCGGACTAGCCGAGCTCCGAACCGTGAATCCAGTCCGCCTGACTTGTTGGTCTGGCGGACCAAGATTTCGGTCCGCCGGACCAGCCATGCTCCGAGCCTCACATTTTGGTCCGTCTGACTGGTCTGGTCCGGCTGACCAACTCTTGGTCAGCTCCGACCAGACCTCAAGACGAAGGAAAATCCAATTTTTCTCGTTCGATCGATCCCGTTCATACACATCCATCCCATATGTGTGTGACCCTTTAGGCTCCTCCGGATACAGCAGTAAACCCGAGATCCAATCTCGCTTTACAAATCATAAGCAGTCTCTAGCAAGACATTATGATTACCCGTATCGGAAAGAGTTATATGTGATCTAACCAAAAAAGCCAGAGATAGTTCCAATGATGATCCTCTTTGTCTCACGATATCATAATCGAACTCATAATTCGATTGCTTTGTCGTATCCCGAGTAGACTGTAAGAGATAGATGACATTCATCTATAGTGCGGCCACACATTTCTACAGTCTCACTCCTACGACGGGCTCAAGCGATATCTCTCTCTTTCGAGAGGGACAAAGTTCCATCTTGACTATCTACTATCCACTTCATGATTCGTAATGTACCCGAGCCACGCCTTTATAATCATCAGTTTAAAGACGACGTTTGACACAGTCAAAGTACATTACTCGTCATGATGGATACAATAGATATCTCAGGTCTGAGGATCCAAAGTGAACCATCAAGTGAGATTCAAGTCATGGATAAAAGCCAATCGACAATCTCACGCGAGTCATCCAGTCACTTGTTCCAAACAAGCACTCATGATCGTGATCCGTATCCAATACACATGATCATCCATCACGCCTCATGTTAGTCTTAATTCATCATTATTTCCACAATGACAAGCGACTAAGGAGTTTAGGATCGTTCATAACGATCCATGAATATCATTATTTATTAAATATGCAAAATAAATAATGAACAAACAATGCATTCATCCAATGAAATCATCGTATCATACATAGTTCTCATGTTTGTGAGGCTTGTACTTTAGGGAAACATTGTCGAACCGTTTTTCCGATTTCATCTACTATCTATGAGCATAAGTTTGATTTGGGTCATTCGGATGTATGGACTGCCCCTTGCTATTCTCGTGATAATTTCAAATACTTTGTCACTTTTATTGATGAGAAAACCAAATGCACATGGATAACACTTTCGAAACAGAAAAGTGATGTCTTTGGTGCTTTTAAATTTTTTTAGCTTATGTCTAACCAGTTTGGCATTAAGATTAAATGCGTGAGAACAGGTAATGGAGGTGAGTACATGAGCTCCAAGTTTCAGGAATATCTCCTACACGAAGGCATTGTGCATCAACGTTCTTGTGCTCACTCCTCAACAAAATGGAGTTGCCGAGAGAAAAAACCGTCATTTAATGGAAGTCGCCCGAACTATCATTTTACATCGCCAAGTTCCCAAGAAATATTGGGGTGATGCTGTCAAAGTAGCCTGCTATATTATCAATCGGTTACTAACTCAAGTGTTGCACGACAAGTCCCCATACGAGGTACTCTTTAATCGCCGTGACTCTCTTGATCACTTACGTGTGTTTGGGTGTGTTTGCTATGCTCATATAGATGAAGGGCAACGCACCAAACTTGATCCGAGAAGCATCCGCTGCATCTTCCTTGGATATCCGGCTGATCAAAAAGGTTACACGTGCTATCATCCTCCGACCAATCGCATATATACATATCGTGATGTCAAGTTTCATGAGGAGCTTGGCAACTTTGGTGACAGCGATTGGAAACAACTGAGAACCTTGTAGAAAGGGGGAAGGACTATAACTCGCCTCTTCTCCATCTCATGACTACTATTCACCATTTGGAGCAAATCTTGATCGACCCTCATCAGAGTCATACCCTCACGATTTACATGCCGATGGTATTCCTCATACACCTTCTATCTCTCAGCAAGATTCTGTACCTATTAACAATGCAGGAACTATGTCAATGGCTGAAGAGCATGACCACGGTAATTTACTTGAGGATGACGACAACACCATATCCCGGTCATCTACTGATTCCAATGAGGGGGAAATAGGTATTGCGCAGCAACATAACACAATGGAGCCTATTGTTGACTCTGAGCAGGATTCAGCTACTGCACAAACCTTATCACCATCAAACTCATTGATGTCAGTCCCAACCCCTGCTCCTTTGAGACGCAGCACAAGAGAAAGGAAGCCACCTTCTGAATGGTGGAAAACATCACACTCTCACCAAGCTCAAGTTGCAGTGGCACATCCGATCGATAAGTACTCTACTCTTACTCACTTTGATACTAATGAACGCAGTTTCTTGAGTATCATTGAGCAGGGTTTCGAACCAACTACTTACAATCAAGCCAAAGATATTCTTGAATGGAAGCAAGCAATGGCTGATGAAATTCAAGCTCTTGAAAAGAACGGAACATGGCTGATTACCGAGTTACCACCACATAGACACCCGGTGGGCTGCAAATGGGTATACAAGATCAAGTACCACAACAACGGTGATATTGAACATTACAAAGCGAGACTAGTGGCCAAATGATATACTCAAACTCTTGGAGAGGACTACAATGAAACGTTGCTCCGGTAGCTAAGCTGCCAACGGTGAGAGTGCTTCATTTCTTAACTATCAATCTTGGTTGGAGTTTGTGGCAGATGGATGTTAAAAATGCTTTCCTACAAGGAGATCTAGAGAAAGAGATCTTTATGACATCTCCTCTAGGATATACAAATGCCATTCAACCCGGACAAGTTTGCAAATTGAGGAAAGCCATCTACGGCTTAAAACAATCTCCTCGACAATGGTATTCCAAACTGTATGAGGCACTCATAACAAAAGGGTTTGTTCGTAGTGACTCCGATCACTCTCTCTTCACATTTACAAGTTCCTCCGGTATCATTGTTCTGCTCGTTTATGTGGATGATATAATCTTGTCGGGAAATGATACATTGGGTATTGACAGGACTAAATCATATTTGCAAACTGTTTTTGACATCAAAGATCTCGGCACACTTAAGTATTTTCTTGGCATCGAAGTTACCCGTATTACTAATGCCTTGTTCCTGTCTCAACGTAAATATGTGCTTGATTTGCTAAAAGAAACAGGAAAGCTTGGGGCTAAACCCGTGCGAACACCAATCGAAGAACACTTCAAGGATCAACGGGAGGGGGAATCACTTCAAGACTAGAAGCAATATCGTCGCGTTGTAGGTAAGTTAATCTATCTCACGATTATACGTCCTGATATTAGCTTCGCTGTTCATCAGGTCAGCCAATGGATGCACTCCCTGACGACAACACATTGGCAAATGGTGGATCGTATACTCAAATACCTCAAAGGAACACTAACAAAGGCATATGGATGGAAAACAACAAGCATACTCAACTGGTAGCATACTGCGATGCGGATTGGGCTGGAGATAGGAATGATTGCAAGTCAACCACGTGATATTGCACATTCATCGGAGGCAACTTGGTCACATGGAAAAGCAAGAAGCAAACGGTGGTGGCAAGATCGAGCGTTGAAGCGGAGTACAGAACCATGGCCAACACTACAAGCGAAATAATGTGGCTGCAACAACTGTTGAAGGATCTCGGAGTCACAACTACACAACCGATGCCTTTGCATTGTGACAATCAAGCTGCATTACATATAGCAGCCAATTCGGTCTTCCACTAGCGAACAAAACACATCGAAGTGGACTGTCATTTTATTCGGGAAAAAATCATGCAAGGACTGATAACTACAAGGTATACACGGAGTCAAGATCAGTTAGCCGACATACTCACCAAAGCTACAAGTTCGTTTGTCCTTAACCGAATGCTCTCCAAGATTGGCCTCATCGAATTTCGCCTGCCAATCTTGAGGGAGAATGTTGGAGAGCAAAAGAGTAACAAACATGACACAGGAAGACTTGGGAAGCAAGGAACCATTAAGCAGAATCACGAGCAAGAACCCTAGCTTGCAGTGTGGCTTAATCGGATGACATGAGATAGATCAGGCCCAAGAAAGGCCCATGGAGTTCATATTGAAACATACATCAGGAAGCTACTACTTGTCAACTACCTCATAAATGCTCCTGCACATGCAAGACTTCAACAACTAGTTTATTCAATTCTCTTCCCAACTATCTAATTAAATGTTTGTTGTAACAACTAGTTTCTCTACTATAAATAGGTGATATCTTGTATCACTAAAAATAAGAAATAGAGACTTAAGGAAATCTGAGTTATTTCCCCTCTATCCTTATTTCGTTCTTATCTCCTCTTTCATATCAATCTTCATCTCCTACCTTTCATTATTCATATTCTATTTCTTCCACAAACAGAAAATTCTACAGTATCTGCTCGTAATGCTTAACGCGTACGATACATCTGGCCTAGTACATAACATGTCATACATGATAGATCCTATTGCCGAAGCATATAGGATCCTATCCATGCGTTCTCGCTCATCCCGTGTCTTAGGACACTGAGTCTTGCTGAGAACAACACCATGACACATCGGCAAGAGTCCTCATTTTTACTCTTGCATTTTGAACCGATTCACAACTTTATCGATGTGTGTACTCTGACTTAGGGCAAGAAGCTTTCGAGATCTATCTCTATAGATCTTGATGCCTAACACATAAGCCGTTTCCCCTAAGTCCTTCATAGAGAACTGTGTTCCTAGCCAAGACTTAACGTCTTGCAAGGTAGGAACATCGTTTCCTATGAGCATGATATCATCCACATATAGCACCAGGAAAACAACCGTGCTCCCACTGGCCTTCTTGTAAACACATGGCTCATCCTCGTTTTAAGAGAAACCAAACTGTTTGATTGTCTCATCAAATCGAAGATTCCACCTCCTTGAAGCCTGCTTCAGTCCATAAATGGATCTCTGAAGCTTGCACACCTTCCCCAGACTCTCTGTATCGACAAAACCCTCTGGTTGTATCATATACACATCATCGAGTAGGTTCCCGTTAAGAAACAGAGTCTTGACATCCATTTGTCATATCTCATACTCATAACATGCAGCTATGGCAAGCAGAATCCTGATGGATTTAAGCATCACGACGGGCGAGAAGGTTTCATCATAGTCAATACCATGAATTTGCCGAAACCCTTTCGCCACCAATCAAGCCTTATAGGTATGCACGTTGCCATCCATGTCGGTTTTCTTCTTGAAAACCCACTTACATCCGATGGGTTTTACCCCTTCGGATGCATCGACCAAAGTCCAAACTTTGTTGTCGTACATGGATTGCATCTCAGACTTCATAGCCTCGTGCCATTTCTCGGAGTCAGAACTCGCCATAGCCTCTGGATATGATGTATGCTCGTCATGTTCCAATAACATGAGTTCATCATTACTAGTCACGAGAAATCCATATCTCGTAGGCTCTTGGCGAATTCTCCCTGATCTCCGAGGTTCACAAGTATCAGGCGGAGCCTCAAGTTCCTGTGGTTCGCGTTGAACATCTTCAACTCGCTCACTCGGTCCAGCGTCTGTCTGTAGTTCTCGAACTTCGTCGAGATCAGCTCTACTCCTACTAATTCCCTTAGAGACGAACTCTCTCTCCAGGAATTTCCCGTTCTGAGCAATAAACACTTTATTTTCGACCGGGTTGTAGAAGTAGTACCTTTTCGTTTCCTTAGGGTATCCTAAAAACAGACACTTGTCTGATTTGGCAGATAGCTTATCAGAAGCCTGACGTTTCACGTAAACGTCACATCCCCAAATCTTCAAGAAAGACAAACTGGGACCCTTTCCAGTCCATATCTCATATGGAGTCTTCTGAACCGTTTTCGTTGGACTCCTGTTTAGTATGAAAGCAACAATCTCTAAGGCGTAACTCCAGAAAGACTTTGGAAGATCAGACTGACTCATCATAGACTGTACCATATCCAATAAGGTGCGATTCCTTCGTTCAGACACGCCATTCCACTGTGGCGTTCCAGGAGGAATCAACTGTGAAACTATTCCACAGTCTACCAGATAGTCAGTGAACTCTTGGCTCATATATTCGCCACCGCGATCCGATCGCAATGCCTTAATAGTCTTGCCAAGCTGGTTTTGTACTTCGTTTCTCAAAGCCTTGAACATTTCAAGTGTTTCAGATTTATGTCTCATCAAATAGACATAACCAAATCTACTGAAATAATCAGTAAATGTGACGAAATACAAATAACCTCCTCTAGCGGGTAAGCTCATGGGCCCACATCACATCACTATGTATTAGGTCTAATAACTCCAACGCCCGTTCTCCTTTTCCACTAAAAGGAGACTTTGCCATTTTACCCATCAGACAAGATTCGCATGCTTCAATCGATTCATAATCGAAAGAATCCAGAAATCCTTCGGAGAGAAGTTTCTGTATGCGTTTCTCGTTGATGTGGCCCAAACGACAATGCCAGAGATAGGTCGGGTTTAAGTTGTTCGGCTTAAACCTCTTAGCATTTACGTTATACACGGACATAGAATCGGAAGGTTGATCGTTTAAGACATACAATCCATTCACAAGGTAACCATTACCATAATAGATATCGTCTTTGAACATCATCAGGTTCTTATTCTCAATAACAAACCGAAAACCATCCAAATCCAAGCAGGAAATAGAAACAATGTCTCTGCTTATAGCAGGCACAAAGTAACAATTACTTAGTTCTATAGCCAGTCCAGAAGGTAAAGCTAAATCATAAACGCCGAAAGTGAATGCAACAACCTTTGCTTCATTCCCGACGCGTAGATCCACTTCACCTCGAGCCAATGTCCTACTTCTTCTCGGACCCTGCACATTTTCACAAATGTGTGAGGCACATCCGGTATCCAATACCCAGGATGAAGAAGTGAATACGTTAGCTTCTATAACGGAAATACCTGAAGTAGAAGCTTCAATAAGCTTCTTCTTCTTCTTCAGATCTTCCAAGAAGAGTTTGAAATTTCTTTTCCAATGACCAATTTCATGGCATAAATTACACTCTCCTTTCTCGGGTTTAGGCTTGGCCTTGTTGGCAACATTTGCCCCACTTGCCTTGCCTTTGCCCTTTCCCTTGGAACGTTTCCATTTTTTCGAACTCTTCGAAATGACGAGCACGTTCTTTTCGACCTTAAGGCTCGTCTCGCCGTTTTCAGCATCCCATGCAGTTCGATCAAGGTCTTATCCATGCCATGCATATGATAGCTCATGATGAACTGATCATAGCAATCTGGAAGAGACTGGAGCACAAGGTCAGCAGCCAACTCCCTGTCAATCCTCAAGCCATAACGCTCAAGTTCTTCAAGATGACCCTTCATCTTAAGAACATGGGCGCTAACCGATTGCCCTGTCGTCATACGACATGCAAGCAGGTTCTTCAACGTGTTGTATTTCTCAACACGCGCATGCTCTTGGAACATAATCTTCAACTGCTCGAGTAGACCAAAGGCGTTGACGCCCTCAAACTGTCGCTGCAGTTCAGGAGATATTGTCCCGAGCATGAGGCAAGAGACCTCCAGGTCGTCGTTCTGATGCTTCAACCAAGCATCACGAACGGCTCTCGCGGCATTGGTCGGGTGCTCAGTAGGAAGAGCCCCTTCTAGGATGTACATCTTTTTCTCGTTCCAGAGAACAATTCTACAGGTCCGATACCAGTTCAAGAAGTTCGTCCCAGTCAGCTTATCCTTCTCAAGGATAGATCGCAATGACACGGTTGGTACACTACCACCTGTCACCATATCCTACAGAGATAAACAGAACAACACAATATGCAATACCAATTAGTACAATACTAATTATAGTACAATTTGATACGATCCCCAGATCATGATTTCTCTAATTAGGCGATGGAACCAACCAAAATTTCAAAATCAACTCGTGATCGAAACCTAGGCCCAGACATTCCAAAGAACCGTCCTAAACCCTTACCAAAATAATGATAGAAACCTAGGCCCAGACATTCTAACGAACCATTCTAAACCCCTACCAAACCTGGATTAGAAATATCGGTATTGCGAAGGCGCCACAAACGGTTATGACTGTCAGTTTGATAAGACGGGTTAAATGCCACGAACGGAATCACTCCATTCGATAAGTTCAAAGGTTCCAAAAAGAACCAAGAGCTAAAGGCTCAAACTCACTAAAAAGTGACACTCAAAGAAAACTCATCTTATTCATAATCTGATTTCTTTGCCTATTTATAGGCTACAAAAGATAGAAATAAAGAAACAACAAAAATCTATGTGGTAAAAAACAAATCCCAAAGTAATAAATGTGGAAGCTTGAAAGACCATTTGACCTTGACTTTGACCAACTAATCCGATTCTTCTCTTCAGATCTTGACTTGGGCTTGCTCCAATCTTGTTATGGGCTCTTGGTTTTGTTGAGAAATTGGCCCAACAAGAATTATGTCATTCTTGGACCGAATTCATCAGATTTGGAGCTAGAACGGACGTGATCTTCAAATGACTGATTGAGGGTCCATACCTTCACCAAAATTATGTACTTTATATCCACGTGAAGCTCTGGATGTCTAGTTTATGGCTTCAAATGGAACTGCGATTGGAGTCTTCAATCAAAAGTTATTGATGAAACAAGACAACCTGCTCAATCTGTATTCGCAGGACTGAACCGTGAATTTCGTCCTCTCTCCAGAATTGAAGCTTTCTCCGATTGGATCTCATATTTTTCAGATCAAACCTTTGGTGAGTTAGGATTCATTTCCAATTGGAATCATATCGTTTGGACATCGGAGTGCAAAGTTATGACTAAATTGCTCCATCGTGCTCATTCTGCCCAAAACCGACATTCCTTGGACATGGACAATCTGATCATGATCGATTGTTTTGAGTTTCTAGACACACCCCTCTAGAATCATATCACAATTACTATCACGGATGACATATGCAAATATGAGATAAACTTCCACTAAGAAAAATATGTTGGTTTAGTGCTCTATGATGTACTGATTATGAGCTTTGTTCAGATACATTCGATGTATTGATACTTTCTATATGTTTTTTTTATGAGAGTATCTTGTTCATTACATGTTCCTGCATGCTAGATCTGTTATGAAATCCATGTATCATTATGAATGATACTAAACTCCCTAGTCTTGTGTCATTATGGGAATAACGACATAATAAGACTAGTATGATGTGTGATTGATGATCACATAGATGATCATAGGTATTGGATACGATCACAATCATAGGTATTCGTTGCAGAACGGAATACTGGACTGACCCGCATGAGATTGTCACATGGACTAGCGTCATGACTTGAATCTCATACGACGATTCCATGATTAGATCCTAAGACCTGAGATATCTACAGAATCCAACATGAGGAGTTGCGTGCTTTGATTACGTCAAACGTCCTGCGTAACAGGAGGACTATAAAGGCGTGTATCAGGTACGAAACGAATCATGTACTGGATTGTAGATAGTCAAGACGGGATTTGTACCTCTCGTAAAAGAGAGAGATATCGCTGGGCCCCTCGTGTGAGCAAGACTGTAGAAATGTGTGGCCGCACTATAGACGAACGTCGTCTATTTCAGACAGTCGAACTCAGTGAACGAGAAAGCAGTCGAATCAGATAAGGTGGCTTGTCCATGCCTTATGTTCGACATATCATATCGCGATACAAAAGGATCATCAGTCGGAATCATCACTGGCTTTCGTATGATCACAAACAAACTCTATTCGAGATAGGTAGTCATAGTGTCTTGCTAGAGACCGCCTATGACTTGTATACCCGAAATAGGGATTTCGGGTTATACTGCTATGTCGAATGAGCCTACAGGGTCACACACAATAGGGATGGACAAGTACGTGTGCTAAATTATCCCGATTAGGAATCCTAATTGGATTGAGATTCCTAATTGGAATAGGAATCCTAATGGGATTAGGAATCCTATTATGTATAGGAATCCTAATGAGATTAGAATTCTATTACATCTAGGAAACCTAATGAGATTAGAATTCTAACAGGTTTAGGAAACCTAATTAGATTAGGATTCCTAGTAATCTATTCCTTGTCAAATTAGGATTTTGGAAAGTCTATATAAGGAGAATGTCTTCTAGGGTTTTAAGAAAAGAAAAAAGAAAAAAGGAAAAGAAGAAAAAAAGAAGAAAAATAAAACCCTAAGCCTCCAAAAAAAAAACCTTGCACACAAGAGAGATCGAGATCTCTAGTCCTAGCAGACAAGTTCCAAGGTGTTGGAATCCATCCCGACGTGTGGATACGTGTAGAGGGCGAGGTATTCTTCATGCCTAGAGTGATCGGACGAACAGATCAATTGATACAAGCCCCG